GGAGCAGAAACCTGGAGACTTACAAAGAGGGTTCAGCTTAAATTGAGGACGACGCAGCGAGCAATGGAAAGAAAAATGGTAGGTGTAACCTTAAGAGACAAGAAGAGAGCAGAGTGGATTAGGGAACAAACGGGGGTTAAGGATATCATAGCTGAAATCGAAAAGAAGAAATGGACATGGGCCGGGCATGTAGCGCGTAGACAGGATAACCGCTGGTCATTAAGGGTAACTAACTGGATTCCCAGAGAAGGGAAGCGGGTCAGGGGAGACAGAAGGTTAGGTGGGCAGATGAGATTAAGAAGTTTGCAGGCATAAATTGGCAGCAGCAAGCACAGGACCGGGTTAACTGGCGGAACATAGGAGAGGCCTTTGTCCTGCAGCGGACGTAGTCAGGCTGATGATGATGATGATGATGATGATGATGATGATGATGATGATGATGATGATGATGATGATGATGATGATGATGATGATAGCTTGAACGTGCAGTTAAACTGAACACTCGTGCTTTTTGCATACACAGCGCGTATAAGTTCTCATGCTTTCAAGCAGCCATGAATAAAATTTTCACTAACGAGAATAAAACGAAATGCAAACATAAAATGGTCCTAAAGAAGTTTTCCGCACACGGTCTATCCACATCAATTATGTGTGTAAATGTTAAATGAACGAAGTGAAAAGAATAAATGAATCGAACGCTAAGCGCTGTCACGAGTGTGTTACACTGCAAGTCTATAACGAGAATTTTCGTTCTTCTTGACATTCACTTCTATTAATCAGGGGTATACGGTGTAATCGGCAGTCAGGCCGATAGTGTCGCAGCAATGAGGTAGGCTTGGGGCACTGTTTCTGTTAGTTCTGCTGGTGTTGCAGTGCAGGAAAAGCCTGCAGCATGCATGAACCAGACCTCCTCACAAGGTTGCACTGAACGAGAAAAAAAAAGAAGTAAGGCACCTAGTTGTTAAGTGGTTCCTTCTTTAATCGACATAGTGTCCACGTTCGAAGTGACAGATTCATCAGAGTGCACCGAAATTGCTGGCTGTGTTTACGTACCAATCGTACTAGTCTCGCAAGTAGGCAAATACTACACCCGCATGGAGGAAGAGAGACGCAAAATGATCGAATGCCATGCTCCGTCTTCGTACGCGTCCCTATTATTCGTGGTGTGTTAGAGCCAGCGATTCCCCGACTCGCGCGTTTAATATAATCACTCAATAGAATAAACAATCTGGTCCTTCGAGACCCACTGCTTTCAGCATGCTCAACTTGCAATAAATGCCACTTTGACACATAGAACACCTGTGATAAATGACGTGCATGAAGGTTCGAAGTGCGTGCCATTACAAGAGTTGAAAGCAGACAACGACGAAGGTCGCACGAGTGCTGGTCTAGAAACCAAAAAGAAGAACAAAAAAACAAACTATAAAGAACACGCCACGGTAGGCATGTGAAAAAAATCACAGCGTATGTATGGAGGGAATGATGATGAGTGCGGGGAAAAGTCCGTCCATTCATTCGTCCGTGTGTCCGTCCGCCCGTGCATGCGTCCATGCGTTCGATCCCGTTCGAGAATGCAGACGGCGCGCGGGTAACACTGACGAGACTCAAACCACGGAAGCCGAGCGCAAGCGTCTTCGAGGCACCCGCCGATTTCTTTGTCCATGCCCCACGAATCATCCGCCACGTACGGCGACTATCGAGGAGATAGAGAGGCACTCGTTCTGCGCATATCCAGGCACAGCCGGCGCAGCAGCCAATGGGAAAGTAGCGGTACAATGTCATCTGGAATATCCTCACTCAGCTGAAGTTTGTATGCACTTCTATAAGGCAGCGCATTCTGTTATACTGTTCGGAAGATACTGCCTTCTCTTTTTCTCATCTCTTCTTCTCTCGGTTACGCATGACGCATGACAAGGTTAAAAGAGCTTCGCCCCTAAAAGGCGGGTAGAGAATGACGGCGACAGGATGACAGAATGAGCGAGGATGATGGGGCTCACTACTCGACCGTTGGGTTCCGGGTCCGAGCGTGGTGATCGCAAGCCTGGGGCTACCCGCAACGTACTACCTGCCACGGCCGTGCGTTTCTAATGTGTTGCGGCTTCAAGGCATCCTGTGCCCGAAGACACGCGAAGCTGTCGTGCTACGGGCACAAATTCTAGCAGAGGTGTGCGGCCGGGACGCGGATACGACGGTGGCGCCTACCGTTCCAGTAGCTGTCAAGTCTACCCTTCGAACAACGCTCTCCAGCTCAAGACTTATACCCGAGCCACATGGGCAGAGAAAATTACACTTATCTCCTAATGCCTTCAGATTGAATGTCATTCGCGCTGTGTGACACGCATAACAAATTGGCCTTCACCCAAATGCCTTTCGTCCCCTAATGCCATCGCCAGAACGCATTCGACTGAGAAATTCATACTCTCGACGGCACAGCTGAGAAAGTAATTGTATAAAACGACATCTGGTCCGACTGGAAGGTAATCTCTCGCGTATTTTATTTACACTAATCACTTGAACAAGTGCTTAAAAACTTATCTTTATCTGGTGGTCGCTGTAATATAAATGCGACAGGAGCCATTTTCTTTTTACGCTACGGATATCACTGGCTTTGGTTTAGGTTGCTACACGGTTAGCTGCAACGTCGGGAAACAAAGTAACGAACGAAATCTAACAGCAGCGTACTATGCTTATTTATACATTTAAGAATTATCCGATGTGTATGAGGCTTCTAAATACTTGTTTATTTTTTTAATGCTACACACCCAATGCTTACGAAGAAGGTGCTCCGATCGAAATCATCAAGTCAAATATCATTCGCTTTGGACGTGTAGCAGCGCCGCCGAACAAAATGTCATTCGGGAACTGAATGCCTTCGCTGCCGAACGTCATTTTCTAAGCCTGTGGGTATCAGCAACTAACTTTAGTGAGACCGACGTCGTGTCTTGTGTCAATGCGAAGTTGAGGGGCTGCTAAAATAAGAATCCGGTAGCGCGAGGAGATAATGCAGGATTGTTTACAGAGTCTGTCAATGTTATGTGTGCTCGTCTTTTGTGTGTGTACAAGGTGTAGTTCACAAATGGCTTCGGCTTTTTGTGGCTGTCAGTGATGTCTTGGATAAGCAGTCATAGAGAGCTTGCACGTCGCAATAACATTCATAGCAACGTAAAACCATCACACACACGCTCTTCGCAAACACGGGTGCTCTACTACATCAAGAAGGTGCATGAATGTAGGTGAATTATGCCGACAAGAAAAACGTATTCACTCGTTCACGTTTCTTGCCGACTAAATATCAGTGCACATTTGGCGTGAATCGCGGATTCAGGTTTCGTTCAACTGAAAGGGGGACGTTGCCGTAGGAGAGTAAGCGGGAAGAGAATTCTGACTTTGGCGGTGGTTGATGACGAGGAAAAGTGCGTATGCTGACGATGATTTATGGTTGCAGTGTGGATGAACACACCCACGTTCTGGTAAGCGTTCTAACAACATATTATTAGAAAAGAGGGATTAATGAGTTGGTCACGTACCCTATGCTGTATTGCTCTGCGCGCACGAGCTCCTATGTAAAAAGATGAAATCAGTAAAGCCCATGAGAATCAGGGCAACCGGACACCCTCTCTCGTTGCTTTGAGTCCACCTTCTACCTTTCTCTACGACACCAAAACGCCGTACTTCTTCACGGCCGGTAGAAAAAATAAAAGGTGTCCCTCCCATACACCTAATACGACGCGAAGGCGAAAACCTCACTAGCAATAATTTCATTGCTATTATTATTATTGAGAGTATTATCAATATTTATTATGACTTCGATTTTTTCTCAGTCGATTGGCACTGACACCCCCTCCCACCCCTGCGCCCCCACGTGTCTGCAGCTGACGTGGTACTGCGTTACATCTGGGATTGGCCCCACCTTTTCCAAGCGAGTATTATGCTCACATGTGTCCCGCTGACGTCCCAAATGGGCGATATTAGAGGACACGCCGACGTAACATCTTCTGTACGTCATGTGATTTTTGCTACCATTCGTGCTGACGCCAACAACTACTACGACGGCCACGTGTACCGTAGGAAGAACTCATGGAGGAAAAAAAAGAAAGATGGGGGGAGAAGCATAACGTTGTTGGCCCAACACGTTACCTTCGCAAGATCACGCTAGCAACGAGAATTGACGATACTTCGTACCAATGCGCCCGCTAGCTAATAAGCGAAATGTGCTTGTATGGCACAGACCAGCCGGCTTACAAAGGAGTTTCAGAATTAGAACGCCATCAAGAGGACTAAACCCTACCGCACTCTCTGACGTTGTGATCACGTGCTGGGCCAACACAAGGGGCTTTCCTCATGTGACGTAATGCTCCCTCCTTTCTTTTTCTTCCTCCATGGATGAACTTTATAAAGGATTTTACCCCAACAAGAGTTCTTTCGCTCTCAATCACCACCGCCGCTGCTACTACAAGTGTGCCTATCACTACGACTGCTACTTCTACTATGGCTACTGCTACCATTGCTAATACTACTACTACAGCTACCACTACTGCAGCTTCTGCTACTACTACTACTACGGCTGCTACGGGTGCAGCTACAACTCAAACTACTACTACTACTACTACTACTACTACTACTATTGCTTGTACTACTATAGCTACCAGTACTAAAGTTGCTGCTACAACTACTATGACTGCGGCTGCTACGGGGGCAGCTAAAACTAAAACTATAATTATGCTAATACTACTTCTACTGCTACTACTACTATTGCTAGTACTACTACAGCTACCGCTACTACAGCTGCTGCTACTTATACGATGACTTCGGCTGCTACGGCTACAGCTAGAACTAAACCTACTACTACTGCTATAGTACTACTACTAATACTACTACTACTGCTACTACTACTGCTATTACAACGCGAGCACGGTTGCTCGCGATCTGCTTGGTAGCGGTGGAAAGTCGCGAGATTATAAGGAAACAATAAAAAAGAAACGAGGATCATTGGGGCTTACCAGTCTTCTTTCTTTTCTGCAAGAGACACCGATTGATCAGAACCGTTGCCACATTGCGGAGCTGCGCTGTCTGTGCGTACCTGCTGCACCATCGTCCGTAGAATCAGGGCACCGCCACGCTTTCACGACGTGTCCATAAGAGAGAAGCGAATGCCACTGAACTTAGAGGACTGCAGCAGTGCTTCGAATGAACAGGCGCGCCCTTTGAGATGCTTCGAGCGCATCTGTGAACTAGCTGTCCATGAAAGATCGCGAAAAATAATCGTTTTAGAGAAAAGGCAACACTAACAGCTGCGAACAAGCTAACAATAAACTAGAAAAAAACAACAAAACGTATCACAATGTATAGGAAGTGTGAGAGAACGTCTGTACGTGTCCAGCTTTCATTTGGACAAATTTGTGACGTCATAGACGTCGATATAGCGTATGATCACCGAAGAACAAACTATTGTGAATCTATGAATCGCTGACAAACCCATAGAAAAAAACTTGCTTCGAAGGATGTAGTTGTAGAGGCCGGAGTCAAGTGAAGAGTCAAACTCGTGCAGTCTTGTACGTCGTATGCTTGGTGTGTTCCACTCAGTCAGTGCGAGACGACGGGCCAGTTGACGAATCTGCCTCGCAGCGTCCACTCTTGAAAGCGGCATTGAAACACTGTTCGTTTCTCCATGTGACGTGCGAGCAGCACTATCGGCAGAATTATTTCTGCTTATACCACAATGCCCAGGTAACCATTGAAAAACGATGTCTTCGCCTTTTTGTGTTAAGAGGTGATGAAGTTTCACGGTTTGGTAGGTCAACTGGTCGAGGCATCTACGTCGGAGAACTGACAGCAGGCACTGTAACGCTTGTTTTGAGTCAGAAAACACTGCCCATTTACTTGGTCTTTCTTCAGAAATATGAGTTCTAGTGCACTACGCAGAGCCTCGAGTTCTGTCTGTCGTGGACGTTGTCGCATGTGAAGTCCTAAAACACCGAATTACCCCTTGTGATGTTATTACCACTGCTCCACCTGAACTAGACGGCGTATTCGAGCCATCGGTGTAAATGTGCACGTGGTTACTGTACTTTTGTTCCAGTAGGAATAGACTCAGTTGTTTTAGGGCATGTGTCGCTAAGTCCGATTTTCTCCGCATTCCTGGAATCAATAAGTCAACTCGTGGCCGGCTCAAGCTCCAAGAAGGAAGCAGTGGCTTTGATGCAGGTGCGCACGCCTCAGTAGACGATGAATGATGCTTGCAGACAGTGGCACCGTATGTCGTGCGGGGCATTTCAGCTGCGAGGTTCGCCAGGTGTTGGGAAAGGGTTTTGGCATAATGCCTGAGGTGCATGCGCATTGTCTCGGTAATAATATGCGTCTTGATTTCGTGATCTTGAACGATGGCAATGGTTTCAGCCATTGAAGCACTGCGGGGTAACCCAAGGCACATCTTAAGCACTTGGGCTTGAATGCTCTGAATTGGGCGCAAGTTGGTCTTGCCGGTATTAGATATTCCAGGTAGGTTATACCGTAAGAATCCAATAAACAGAACTCTGTAAAGTTGTAGCATGGATGGCATGGGCACTCCCCAAATCTTTCCTGCAAGGAGTTTGAACATGTGAAATGTTGTGATCAGCCGCTTCTTCACCTAGTTCACGTGTGGAGTTCACGACAGGTTTCTGTCTATTATGACTCCCAAGAACCTGTGGCTTCTGCTGAACGATGTGTGTTCTTCATTAATCGATATGCTGTAAGCAGAAAGTGGTTTTCGCGTGAACGATACTACTGCACACTTTCCGCAGGACACCTCGAGACCTTGTTTGCGAAGGTAGCATGCCGTCATTCTAGCAGCCTTCTGAAGGCAGGCGCAAAGCTGAGGCCTTCTCACACCTGGTATCCAAATGCAGATGTCATCAGTGTAGAGAGAGAGTTTTGCAGTGCTAGGTAGGTGCTCGACTAGTCCAATGAGACTTACATTGAAAAGTATAGGTCTTAGCACTCCTCCTTGAGGAACTCCTTGGCTGCTGTAATAATCAGGTGTCGCGCTATTCGGAGTCATTACGTAGCACGATCTGAGCTGTAAGTAGCTGTACACCACATATATATCTTGCCACGAAGACCTACTGTTTCTAAAGCACTAATGATGGCTTCATGGGCGACATTATCGTAAGCCCTCTTAACGTCTAGAAACAGGGTGGCGCACACTCTCTTACAGGCTTTCTGGTGTTCAACATATGTCACCAGATCGACAACGTTGTCTATTCATGAATGGCCATGCCTGAATCCAGTCATTAATACTGGATAGATTTCATGTTGCTCTAAATACCACTGCATTTGTATTAGAATCATTCGTTTCATTGTTTTTTCCCACACTACTGGCAAGCGCGATAGGCAATATGAGTCAATATTCAAAGGAGATTTACCAACCTTTAGGTGTGGAATGAGACGACTTGACTTCTATGCATGGGGAATAATACCCATCTGCCAGGAGTCGTTGTATAGGCGTAAGAGTGCCTTCAGAGCTTCATCTCCAAGATTACAAAAGGCACGATAGATAATGCTGTGAGGTCTTGGTGCTGAAGCCCGTCTGCACAGTGCCAGTGCCACCTCTAGCTCATCAATAGGAAACTGCCACTCGATACGGGGATCACGTGACGGCGGTGGGTTGTCAAATGTTTTGATTTTGACTCCGTGAAATTGGAATCACTGGCAACTCTTCTACGGAAGAATTCTGCGACGTCGATCTCTCTGCATTGTAGGTGAAGTGTCAGAGATGTAAATGGGTGTCACTGACAAAAGGTTGTGCTAAGACCCCGGACAGTTCTCCATATCAGTGATAGGGGTTTTTGCGGATCCAACGACTCTCAGAAGGATGTCCAACGTCGCCAAGCCAGTTTGTCAGTGTGCCGCTGCATTTTCTTTTGAATGCATCTATCCAGCATCAAATTATCTATGCACTTTGTCCCTTGGTACCTATGTTCTGCACGATGACGTATTGCGTGAAGTTTCTCAAGCTCGTTGTCGAAATCGCTGCGCTTGTGACTAGTCAAAAGTGAATGCGTGGTATTCTGCAGGACATCCTTCATAAAGCCATCTTGGTTATACAATAAGCCATCGGTACAACAGTCTTTCATTACCAGTTTGAATTGCGGCCAATCGGTGTATTTGAGGTCTCTTGAGGACTTTGAGCTGGTGAAACCTTCTATCCGCAGGTAAGTTGAAATTTGGTCGCTGCCCCATGTTTCCATATCCGAAAACCACTGCACTTTCCTGGTAAGTGAGCGAGAAACCAATGTAAGGTCCAGGCAGCTGCTATAGGCTGATCCGTGTAAATATGTAGGGCTTCCATCATTACAAACGCAAAGTTCGCATTCTGAGGCTAAGGACACCGATTTTCTTCCTCTAGAGTTGACGTGGGAGCTTCCCCATAAAAAATGGTCGGCATTAAAGTTGCCGGTGATCACCCAACGGCTTGGAGTCCATGTCAGAACACCGCGTAAGCGTTCGCAGTCAAGGCGGCTTGATGGATATAAGTAAGCTCCGAGAATCGTGGAAGTAAGTTAACCTTCTTCACAGTAAGACACACATATTGATTATCTTCATCAGGTGAGACTGTGTCGTGAACGTGAGGTCACGGCACATGAATACAATAACTTTGCTGCAATCTCTGTAAGTGGAGGACATAAAGCCCTTATATCCTGACATTTTGATTGAAGCAGACAGGTTGCGTTCGCAAACCATAATTATAGGGAAACGGTTGATCCATACAAACTGCCTACAGTCAGACATGTGCGACCTAAGTCCTCTGGCGTTTCACTGAGAGATGGATAGATTCTTGACGTCCACTTGAAACGACGGTTCATCGTGAACTTACTTACAGCGCAACACCAGAAAAAAACAGGACAGGGAAGGAGTAGAACAGAAAGAAAAGAAACGACGGTGTCTCGCTGGCCGTGGTTTTACCCTAGAGCTGCAAGCACCGTACTCAAGTTGTCCAGCACTTGCAGTGCGGTCTGCGCAGACGAAGTCATCATATTGCTGTGTAGAACACGCATGGCACTCATCAGCGATTGCAGCAAGCTTATCACTTGGTCTTCATTTGTCGCATCACTTGTTCAAAGGGTGGTCGAGGGCGGCAGAATTTGACGCAACTCCGAAGTAGGTTGACTTCGTGGAAGTTAGGGCCACTGTTCGGAAGGTGCAACTGCTGTTCCTTTCTTCTGTTTGGCAGTTTCCGCTTCAGTGAGTTCGGTGTTTGAGGTTCAGACACTTTGATAGAAGATGGCGTCTCTCTATTGGTAGAGCAGTCTTTTCATTATGGCCTTCACCCACGACGCCGTCGTCGCGAAGTGTAGCGACAGCTTCCCTGTGCATTGTTGTCCCGCACCATATGCCTGAGTACAGCGTGCTCGTTTCACACCCGCGGGCAATCTTCTGATGAGGCCTAATGAGCGCCGTGGCAGTTTGGACATCGTAGTATGGTGGCACTGCAGGCGTCTTTTGAGTGAGACTCAGCGCACCGCGGACACACAACTTTGTTCCTACAGATACTTTTTACGTGTCCCATCTTGAAACACTTGTAGCATTGCAGTGGCTTCGGTACGTATGGACGCACTGAGGGGCGAACATGGCCAACTTTGACATACGAGGAAAGGTTGTCTCCCTCTAACACAAGCCTCAAGCAGCGTGAGTTGCCAAGTCTAAGGATGTGCGTGATCCGAGTGCCTTATGTAGATGGCTTTATTAATATTGGCAGGTCATTTGCTGAGATGTAAAGATCCATATCTTTAATGACGCCTACAGTACCATTACAACCTGTAGCGACCATTGACCGAACTTTCACGTTGCCGATTTCTGTTATTAGCCGAAGGCTTTGCGGCGCGCTATGGTGCATAACGTCTAAGGCAAGGACATTCTGCCGTGCATTGATCCTCACGTCTTTGATCTCATTCGGCGCGGTTTCCTCGAGAAGCACAGAAAAAACTTGCCTGTTGAGGAGTCGCAAGATGGACGCAAGGTCTTCGGGCATGAACAGCATGGCGTTCGGCCAGCACTGTGGTGCCGTCTTAACGGTGGAAACACTTGCCGACGATGCTATCCGCAGCAGTCTGCGTTTTGTAGTTTGATTCATGACGACCGTGAAGTCATCATTCGATGACTGGAAGCCATCCGAGTACAAATCAGTTGCCTCGCTATCCGTGTCGCTCGACACGTTGCCACGCTTTCTGGACGACGAGGCCCGGCG